CTGACTATCTGCATCGCTCAGGGCTCACATGATGGGGTAACATCTACCCCCAAATTGCACCCCCACTCCCCTTCCTCGCCTAGCGGCATGGCATTAGCGTTAAGTTTCGAGCTGGCGGAATCAAACTTGCGAGTTTTGTATTTTGTTTCAAATCAGGGCTGAGAGGGCAAAGCATTTTCCGTCTTAGACAGGTGAAACCCTCGGAAGGGAGCGGATTTTTCTTACCGTTTCCGCGTTGGACAGGTTTCCGTTTTATACAGGTAATTAAAGAGGAATATATCAAGGGGAGAGCAGGGAGATTCCGCTAAGACAGGTTTCCATTTTATACAGGTTTCCGTTTAGGCAGGTTCGACTGTACAAAAAGGAATAAACAGAACACCGTACTCATAGATTAGGCCTACTTCACTATTTCCCCTTAAGTTATTACTGGATCCCTTATAACGAGAATCCTGCTATAACGGACATTTTTCACCGGTCCCCTACCTCTCGTTATAACAGGATTCCACTGTAGTAGCATCATGAATCTAATTAGTTGCTTGAAAGTAGAGTAGCAGGTGTCTGCATGGGAATTACAACCTTTTTTTAGGGAACAGAAAGGGGAGGGAGGGGGAGGATGGCAGCATTGAGAAAATAAGTTGTTTGTTTTTTTTCTTCTTTCGCAGCTCCATCGGCATCACCTAAACTTGAAGTGGCCTGTAGAAGTCCCACACCTGTCCAGGCGAAAGGTCAAAGTTCAGCTTGATTTGTCCCTCTGTGAACCTGGAAGCACTTCTCCTCCGAAGGGAGTAGTCAACCTCTTTGCACTGCTGGTTAACAGAAATGAGCAAAAGTTTGATAATATGCTAGAATTATGTGAAGCGCTTAATCCTGTGATAGGAGAAGGCTCCTAGCATCGAAAAGTTAACCATATAATATATGTTAAAAGGTCTTTTCAATGTATTTATTCGCTGAAAGACAATACTTTTTGAGAGTTAGATTCTGTTTTAGGAGTTTAAAGAAGGCATTATGTTTTTGAAATTCAAGTATTATGATGATTTATGAGAATTTTGTCACAATATTTCTTGATATTGTTGTGCTATCAATACTTCAGAAGTATGTGTGTACTTGTGGCACAGATTATTACAGTGGAGTCCCGTTATAACGAGAGGGAGGAGACTGGTACAAAATGTCCGTTATAGCAGGACTCTCGTTATAAGGGATCCATTAACTCATTGCTTACGCGCCTCTGTGCCCAGCCGCTCACCCAGGTACGCACTGTTTTGAGCCATCTTTGAGCTCCAGTCTCAGGGAGAGCCACTGGGAAAAACAGAAAAATAATCAACTGTATATTATAAAACCCAAACTGGAATGGCGAAATCCTTCGGACCTCTCCAGAAGAGACGAAGTCATTTTTACTCGATTGCGCTTCGGACACACGGCCCTGAACCGCAAATACCTCCTACAGGGAGATGAGAAGCCATTCTGTGTCGGATGCAACACAGATTTTACCATGAGACACATATTAACCGAATGTCTAGACTTTGGAGAGATCCGAAGGAAATATTATAATAAATGCAAGAAATTACAATTACAAGACATTTTTTCCATCGTTGGTCCCAACAGAATTTTTAATTTTATGAAGGCCATTGGCCTTTATGGCAAATTATAAAGTGAAACAATATTGTTAAAAAATTTTTTATTGTTTTTTTATAAGAGTTGTTTTAAATTGTTAATATATTTACACAGAATTTTAGTATTTTAGCATTTTAAAGTCTAATTGTCGACCAATCGTGCAGTGAACTGTTGCGAATGCTACCAACTTGTGTTTCGCACGCTCATATGACCTTATGCAGTTGCGAACGCCGTAAAACCCTATACTATACATATGTAAACTAGACTAGAATAAAGAGGGGCTGGGCTGGGACTCAAAGATTTAAAATTGTTGGCTGCTCATAAAAATATATATCTTGTTTCTTAGCTTCACTACTTGCTTGGGGAAGAGCCACATCATTTCTTCAGGGATAAAAATGACCCATATTTATAATTTAAGTATTGTTGTTGAACTTTTATAACACACACAATTCTTGGTGCATTATGTGAGTGTTGATACACTATAGAACTGTCTATAATATTTTGTTTAGGTGTTGTATTTGAAAATAAAAGAAATAGAACACTTTGAGAGTCTCAGGGGTCCTGTGTTTCAAATGTGATGCTTGACTCTCTATACTGTTTACCCTGTAGGTGACCTTTTTCAATCGCACATATTGCATAGACAAGATTTGGCTAGAAGAATTTGTTTTTCCTCCTTCCTGCTTCCTGTGGTAATAATCAAATATTTTAGCAACTGTGACTTTATATTTATATAAAGAAGTTATTTAATTTGCCAGCTAGGAGGTTCTGACGTGGTCGTCCTGATGGAATAGTTCATCAGAACTCATGGAGGGGAAGAGAAAAAAATCTGTCAGCATCTTACAGAGGTTTTTTGTTCACAATTGGCCCATGTTATAAGTCATATGTCCTTGGAGCAGAACTGGGCTTTTAGTAGCTTTTACAAAGTTCTAATTCAGAGATTGTTTAAAATGTTTGAGTTTCTGCTGGGATGCTGTATCCCTCTCAGCCAGAGTTGGCTCTGATGGGCAGGATGAAAACCCACCTCCTACATTTTATAAATCTAAATTAATTATGTTGATGGGGGCATAAAAATAACATAAATTGTTATTTTAAAAAGTAAAATGATTGTCGTTCATGCTATTAGATCTTTGGCCCAGAAGAAACACTCTTCTTAGCCAACAACTTTGACCCTATCCGTACGCCCTGAGGTCATTTTGTACCCCCGCGGTTGTTTTCTTCGCATTTTAGAGTACTTCTAGTACGGAGGATGAGGACGGAGATCTCTTTGAAACTTTTAGTATTTCTCAAAAAATCATTTTGACAGACTGCTATGCAAAGCATACGGACCAGATTAACGAGTAAATTTCCTCTTTGAAAGTGGTGCACAGAGTTCCTCATGTCGTATGGATACGGTAGTAGTAAAACACAACGTTGGATAGGGTTAACCATGGGTGGGGGTGATGTGTATTGCTCGACTCGCTAGTAAAATAACTGAGGCAATAGCCAGTGGTCAGGATGGAGGAATGGACCTGAAACTGTCGAGTGTGGTGTCTAGGGACGGTCTACATTCTGGGCTGTTGATTTTGGGCTGAAAATGAGATGGATGCAGTCGTGAGACACGGGCCTCTATAGAGAAAACATGGAGAGGAATACCTCACTTGTTGTTTGGAGTTATATGTCCCAGTAGACAGAAATACAGAGGAAACCTGATATAACAGGGATGGTGGGACTAGAGAAAAAACCTGTTGTATCAGATCCTTGTTAAATCAGAAATACAAGGGAAGTAAGCATTTGTGGACTAATTCAGCTGTATTTATTCATGGGTAACTTCCCTTGCCACAAGTACCCATGAACAGGGGTTTTGGCCGAGTGATAGGCCTGCGCTTGACACGTTACGCATGCGTGTAGCTAAGCTTGGGGCTAGATCGAAGTCTGCAGCACATTGCAGCACTCTCTCGCTTCACCCGCTGCGTGTGCTTGCAGTGGCGTGACTTGCGACCCTGTTATTCAATTGTCGATAACTTTTAATAGAGACAAAGAGTAGGAAAAAAACGGGGATTAAAAAAATCCCTGTTATTACCGGGCCTGTTATATGGTTTCCACTGTGGGTCACTACAAAGTTCGGCCCCACATTGTTGTACTCTGATTTTTTTTAAAAGAAAGAAAAGTTTTTCATTCCCCGGAACCTAAGTTGACAGATAGGCATGAAAGAACAGAACCAGCTTTTGGTTGTATTTGTAGGGTTAGACACTTCGCGCCGCATGCAGAAGACCTGAATTTGAACTCTGTGTGAGGAGAATTTTGATCTTATATCTTGGACTTTCTGCTGGGACGTTGTATCCGTCTTAGTCTTAGCTTGGGTTGACTCTCATGGCAGGCTGAGCCGGAGCCTAGTCTTAGCTTGGGTTGGCTCTCATGGCAGGCTGAGCCGGAGCCTAGTCTTAGCTTGGGTTGGCTCTCATGGCAGGCTGAGCCGGAGCCTGCCTCCTAAATGAACTAAATTGTGTTGATTGAGACATA